TTTCCTTCTTCTTCCCCTTTCTCTTTTTCTTCTTGTCCTTCCCGGACCTGCTTTCGTTTTCTTCATCCGCATCGGACGGATGTGGATCGTCATCGCCTGCGTTCCCGGGCGTCTCCAAATGAGTACGGAGACTCGCAGGAGGCAAAGCTGGGGACCCTTGAGATCCAAGTGGCTGTACTGACGGCACAGGCACTCGGTTCCCCGAGGCGTTGTCGAACCTTTCTCTTAGCTCTTTGATGATCCGACTCTGCTCGGCAAGTTCAGACCGGAGGGCATCCTTTCTTTGCCTAGCTGATGCGCGTTCACTCTCAATGACGGCATGTCTTTCGAGCAAAATCCGATCTAAATAAGCCCTTTGTTCATGAAGTTGTTGGTTCTGATGGGCTTGATTCATGTCACTTAATCGTTGATTGGCAATAGCCTCATGTTGTTCCCTAGACTCCTCAATGACCGCCCTGGCTTGATGAGCTACAGCATCCCTGTACTGCCTAGCTTCATCTGCTACCTGCTGCCCGTGCTCGGCCAAAATGGTCTGATGCCTTAGCTCCGCAATCTGAGCGATGGTGCTTGAACAGTAGGCACCAGGTTTGCCTGGGCACTGAACGACGGAGGCTCAATTGGCCTACGGAGGTCCAGCGGAACGACAGGGAGTCCGAGTGCAGGTGAACTAGACATTGCTGGCGAAGTCGGAACATAGCCCACGGGAACCATCATCTTCAGCCATGGCCTCTAAGTAGTGCACTACTTACAGTGGGTGAGACCAAAGCTAGTTACAAGCACGTACCGCACTTCTGGCGATACGGCTGATAACCTGTAGTTACAGGTAAACGGCCGACACTAACCACCAACCGCACCTGTTTTCCCTTGAGCCAAAGTTAGGGTAAGTGAGACATGTATAAGACACACTAGAGTGAAACAACAGTCCTGAGGCCAACGCCTTGCGCATGCTGGGCAACGGAGCCTATTTGTCGGCGCCAAGTTCACAATTAGACGACACGCCTCAAGTTCTCCCCATGGCATGCTTCTTCAACTGCACAGAGCCCATTCAACACTGGCTCGTTTCCCACATGATGCAACACCTCGCGGCAAAGAACCCGTCGAATCAGCCCCAGAAGTAGGAATTGATCAAACTCTCTGATGTTGTGGAATACCCTCGCAAGGCTTCTCCAGGTCCAAACTACCTACCTTGTCGGGAAAGCCGTTTCAATCATCTCCCACCCAAATTCCTAGCTACCCGAACTTCCTTGCCAGCGTAATCAATGGTCTTGGTGGCGAAAAAATTGCTTGAATGCAAGCGGGGGGACTTCACCCTCCAGTAGCCCACTCTCAAGCACGACTTTCTCCAACTTCCCCACGATCTCCATGCAGTTACACTTTGAAACACTTGTGTCATGTGTGTCCTACGGGCGCAGGCGCCATACAAGCTATTCAGCTATTCAAGCCTCGCACCAACGCATCGTACCAACCCACCCTACCAGGCTTAGGGGAACAATCCCCTTCGTGGGCTGATGGCAACGCGGGCTCAAAGAATCAAACACCTCCAAGCAACTCGGCAACGCTGGCCCCAAGGCCCTAACTATGCAACCTTTTTTGGCGCACCCCTCGCTCAACCACCCAACATGTCTGGGCTTGCGTCAATGTCTCTGAACAGTCTCTGAATATCCACTTCGGAATCCACGGCGCGCATTTAAACCCAGGCGTGGCACCGACATGCGCCAATCAGTTTTTTGATGCGAAGAATGAACGACAAATCGCCTGAGATTGATGAGGTCTCTGCGGGCCTTTGGCCTCTGTGAGCCTTTGACCTCTGCGGATCTTTCGTTTGATCGCGACGAGGATGAAACTTGAGAGAGGAAGGGGGTGAACGAAAGGTACCGCAGCACTGCGTGTGGAGAGAAACCGCCGACATAGCAGAAAACCATTGATATTACATGAAAGGTTGTATGGGAGAAACGAACTTGTGTGTTTGGATCAGCCAAGTTTGTGGCCACTTTGAAGCCTACATAGCTTAAAACCATCGATATTTACAGGGTTTTGTGCCGGGAAGGCGCACTTTTACAATTTGGAAGCCTCCGAAAGCCGAAAAAACCTTTTCCGACACAATCTTTCCTGGCTTTTGGTCATTTTTCGGCAATTTTTCAAAACGAGACACGTCAAAAACCATCAGTTTTTACGAGGTTTTTTGCCGAACAGCCGCATAAAGCCCTGTAAATTGCATGGTTTGAGGCCATGCTTGAAGACAGGAGGAGCGGAAACACTGGTATTTACGGTGTTTTGTAGCCGCCGATCCAGAGGCGCACCACGATTGTGTGCTGGGAAAGCGCAGAAAACCGTGTAAATACCGTCGTTTTCTGCCGGGAAGGTGCACAAAACCTGCAATTTTGAAGCCTCCAAAAGCCTCAAAAAACCCTTTCCGACAAAATCTTTCCTGGTTTTTCAGTCATTTTTCAAACCGAGACGCATAAAAAACCATCGGTTTTTACGGTGTTTATTTGCCGGACAGCCACAAAAAACGCTGTAAATGGCATGGTTTTCGGCCACTGTTGAGGACTGGAAGAGCTGAAAACACTGGTATTTACGGTGTTTTTGAGCCGTTGACCCCGAGGCGCGCCAGGGTGGAGTTGAAAGGGGGGGCCCCCCCCGCCCAGCAAACGAATATGTCGGGGGCCATTTCTCAATGAGAAAGGCTCCACTCTGGGTATAATACATGTTTGCTAAAGCAAAAGGAAAACTCAGGTAGCGTAACCGCTACCTTTCGTGATCAACGACCCCTTTGCCAGCCTCCAGCTTACTGAAGGGCAATGGCATGGTAATGCTTGACCAGCAATACGGAGCGAGAAGGGAGCGAGAGGTTGGTAATAGAAAGTCCTTCTTGGGTCTCTCCATAAGCCCTCGGCGGCAACAGTTTTCCATTGCACCTTGCAAGGAAGGGGTGTCTTTAAGGTGGGCAGCCGCCTGCTGTCATCAAGGCCACCAGTTGATGGCAATAAGCAGGGTAGCTGAATTGCTAGTAGCCACGTACTCATCGACTTGTCTCCTCACCCCTGTTTTTGTATCGCCTAACCGAACAACCCGGAACCTGACCGCAAGGGGGCCAATTGATCACCAAAAACAAGGTTGAGGGTCAAATGGCCATTTGGGCACGAACAAACGGTATGGCCGTGAGAAACTATTTGGCCGTGAAAAAGCCGGTAAGGCCGTGAAAAAGTGTGCGTTTGGACGTGAAAAAGCGGCTCTTGGCCGCGAAAAGGCGTGAAAAACGTGAACAAGGAGTTGAAGCCGTGAAAAAAACAAATGGCCGTGAAAACGGGCAATGGCATCAAAGCTTTACAAAATAGGGTCGAGAGCTGTTTGATCGCATTTTTAGTGATCGAATGGCTCCCCACATTTCACCATGCCCCAAAATCCAAGACAGAGGCGCAGCGCCAGCCTAAGGTTTTCAAGTTCCGACCCAGGCCGTGCCCCAGGTGGTCCTAACTGATCCCGCCGTTCGAGTTCGAGTTCGGGTTCGAGTTCGGTGCACGAGATTGCGTGGATCGAGCGAGAGGGGGTTAGTTCGAGTTTGAGTTCGAGTTTGGATCGACAACGATTACAGAGCCGGGGGGGGTGGACCAGTTCGAGTTCGGATCGGCGACCATAAGGGACCTCTAAGGGGGGTGAAGCAGTTCGTGACAATGGCTTGGTTGGTTGGTTGGTTAGCAGGTCTTTGGCCGCAGGGAGTTCACACTAAAATAATCTAAAATGTTGATTTCGTGGCAGGCGCGGGTTTTGGAGATGAAGTGCAGATTTCGTGGTTGCGGGGGGGGGTTGGGGGGGGCGCAGCGCCCCCCCCCAGCAGTGCACAAGATCCCAACAAAACAAGTGTTGGCTGCAAAGATGAGACTGCGCAGCGCGGATACTTTCAACAGGTTGATTGCTTTGTTGGTTCCTGTTCTTCTTTGTTGTGGGTCTTGGCGATTGCGGTTGTGGTTGTTGTCGTTGCTGTTGGTTCTCGTGGCTGTTGTGGGTCGATCCGAACTCGATCACAACGTAGCATGCCTTTTGTGGGCCACCCGAGGGTAAAATTTAGAGCAGGAAGGAGCCATTACAACGAAGCATTTCTTTTTGTGAGCCACCCGATGGTAAAATTTATAGGAAGGAGCCATTGCAACGTAGCATGCCTTTTGTGGGCCACCCCAGGGTAAAATTTAGAGCAGGAAGGAGCCATTACAACGAAGCATTTCTTTTTGTGAGCCACCCGATGGTAAAACTTAGAGTAGGAAAGGAGCCATTACAACGTATCGGGGGTGAAATCTAGAATTGGAAGGAGCCATTATAGGATTATCTCGAATTCGAATTCGAATCGACGCCAATTTTGACACCCGGGTGGGGAAACCAGTCCGAGTTCGAGTTCGAGTTCGAATTCGATTCGATGACAATTTTGACACCCGGGGGGGGGGAGACCAGTTCGAGTTCGAGTTCGAATCGGCTGCAGCGATTTTGGAGTTCGACTCCTTCTATTCGTCCACCGGGTTGACTTCTAACTGTTCCAGTTCGAGTTCGAGATCGATATCGAGTTCGGTTCCTTCCATATATCCTTTCAGGGTTGAGTTCATCTATAAGTCTAACTGTTTCAGTTCGAGTTCGAGTTCGAGTTCAAGCGGGGCACACTATGTTCCGACCAGGGCCTGCGCCACTTCGAATGGAAAGCCTTCCTCGTGCGACTCCTCGTTCTCGTCCTCCAAACTCCTTCCTCCTCTCGCCCGCGTGTCCTTTGCTGTGAGGGTCAGTAGTTCCCTGGGGCGGTCGGCCTGGTGGCCACGGTCCGCGTGCACGGATGGTTAGGTGACACTCGCTGACAGCTGTCGAGTAAACTGAAGAGCCAGTGGCCGCGATGAATTCGTGCAACCTGTCCCACCTACGGCGGATTTCATACATATATTTATAGTTTGCCAGGCAAGTTGAATCCTGGCAGGACACAGGCTGAAACATAAACTCCCGCGTATCCAACCACCCCAGGCCTTCCACTTCGGCCTTGCTGCATAGCCCCTGATAGCCCTCTGACTGGCACTTGGCTTTTGCCAATTCTCTGGTGGCATAGTCGTAGCCTCCAACCTTATAGATTCTTCTTCGCGCAGCCGAAAACCAAATGAAGTTAAACAGGTGACAACCAAAACGCTTGGATGAATGAAGCCAAAGCGGCTTGCACCAGGCGCATTTAGGTACCAAGGCTCCGAACCAGGTTTAAGCTTGGGGCGCTGACAAGAAAATGTTCATTTAGACATTTAGAACAATGTTCCCATTGCTACCGAATATTGAGGTTCACCCTCCAGTTTGTTTGCACATTGTTTATCTATAATGACTGGTATACCTAAAGACCTATACTTTTTTTAATGCAAAATCAAAGCAACTTTCTCAGGAAGTTAGCTAAAATGAGTCTGGACGCCATGGTTCTCTGAAAGTGGACGTGACGAGTGTGAAATCATGACGCATTCATGAAACAAAGGTTTAAACAAACTGAAAAACACACAAGCACAGATCAACGCATAATTCCAATAACCTTCCAGGCAAAAGGTGTAATTATGGTGATGATTCCTGCAAGAATTCCACAAGAAATTGCAGGTGCAGTGCTTTCTCTTGCTGGCAGCAGAGGAGTCAGGAATTCTCACAGAACTTTGGTTCCAACAAGCAGTGGAACAAATGTGTCCAAAGGTGCCTCACAGGTGGGAACTTTGATTCCAGTTGCAAAAACTTGTTTATTACCAGAAGTGCAGATCACGCAGAGGAAAATTATGACAAGGAGTTGTCCAAATACATAAAGGCGGCAGCAGGCAGCAGGTATAGATTTTTCAATCTATGCTTTGTTGATGGCTGATTCTCTGGATTCACAGGACATGCTTCGAGCAATTTCTGGTTCTGTGCATGACTTCATGCATGGCCTGCTTTGAAATGGAGTCATGGGATGGGTGGCATACTTGGTCATTTCATCTGCGTGTGAGAATGGCCTCCCACAAATTTGGGAAAGACTTGCTGATTTCCTCAAGTTGTGGGTCCAGCCGCCCAGCCAGGCTTCAGGAGCAACCAGAATGTGCACAGGTTGTTTGACAGCAAGCATGCGGCAAACCACAAAAAATCCAAGAAGATCAAGGCTTCAGCAGGGGAGATCCTGGAGTTGCGTCCAACATGTGCCATGAAATTTTGCATTTGCACGTTGGAAACTACTTGCTTCCTGAGCTGGCTTGCAGTGCTTGAATTTTGCATTGCTATTCCAGTCCTGCAGCATCCACAGCCAAGTGTTCTGCAGAACCTCGTTGAAAAGGCGCTTTCAGACATGTGCGTGCGTGCTGGATGGGGGTCTGAATTCAAACCAAAAATGCACTGGGCACTTCACTAGTCAGATGCTCTAGCCATCCACAAGATGCTGCCAAGTTGTTTCTCACTGGAAACATGCCAATAACTTTGTAATACTGTTGCCTATGAGCGTTCACTCATAGCAGCAGTGTTGTCAGAACACATTCAGCTTCTCCAATCTGACGCAGCACTTTTGAGGACTGCCAATTTTCTTGTCAACAGGAAGAGGCCTACTAGAGAGGCACTGGCTATGTTGGAGGCTTATGGCCTGTGTTTGCCAAGTGAGATCTGTTGGGTGAGCAGGGAAATGAAGCTTTCCAGTGGTGCAGTGGCGACTCAAAAGGATGTTGTCTTGTAGCAGGCAGCCAGCTTTTTGCAAGTGGGACAAGTGAAGCTCTTGATCCAGATTGGTGATGACTTAGCTGTTTTGCTTGCAAAGATGACTGTGAGAGAGAAGTTTCCTGAGCTCATGGTGAGCAAGGGAGAGCCAACGCATTTGCTTTGTGGAGGCCAAGCAGCTTGAAGCTCCTGTGGTCTACAACAGAAGTGATTCTGGCATCTTCACATTTTTCACACCTCCACACATTTGGGCAAAAGAGCAGTGGAAAGGTTTGCGCATTGAGGGATGCATTTTACAGCAAAGGCACCAGCATTGAAGTGCTTGTTTGGTGCTTTTTGGGGGAACATATTTTTTCAGCCCATTTGGCTTTGTTTGTGTATTGTTTGAACACACATATACCATTATGCAGCCTGCTGTTGGCTTTTGTTTTCTTTGACTTGGTCATTGCTTTAGTTGTTTTTCCACTGCAAACTGCAAAATCCATAAAAACAATGTAAAAAACATTCTCTAAAAAGAAACAACATAATATTTATAGCTAGTTAGTTAAAATTACGTAATTAACATAATTATGTTAACTAGTTAGCAAAAGCCAGCCCATCTAAGTGCGGAGATCGTGCGTGTCGAGGGCGCGAAATGCAGGTGAGATTGCGTTTTGGATTGGTCGCGGGCACCCTCTGCGGAGATCGTGCGTGTCGAGGGCGCGAAAAGGAGGTGAGATGGCGTTTTGGATTGGTCGCGCTTCACTTTTGGAGGAAGTCTCGTACGAAACGCTCGTTTTGGAGACTTGGCACTACGTCCGTGATGTCGCAGTGCCATGCGGATTTGCGCGGCCTTGGTGGGAAGTGCGTTTGCGTGGCGCCGTGCCACTGGGGAGCGCGAAACATGCTGGTGTAAACGCGGCGTGTCGCTGGTGAGCGGGATGATTGGCGGGAAATCGTTTGATCGGATTGCTTCTAGTGTGGGCAGACCGAGTGGCGAACTACGTCCGTGATGTCACAGTGCCATGCGGATTTGCGCGGCCTTGGTGGAAAGTGCGTTTGCGTGGCGCCGTGGTGGAGCGCGAAACACGCTGGTGTAAACGCGGCGTGTCGCTGGCGAGCGGGATGATTGGCGGCGTCCGTGATGTCGCAGTGCCATGCGGATTTGCGCGGCCTTGGTGGAAAGTGCGTTTGCGTGGCGCCGTGCCACTGGGGAGCGCGAAACATGCTGGTGTAAACGCGGCGTGTCGCTGGTGAGCGGGATGATTGGCGGGAAATCGTTTGATCGGATTGCTTCTAGTGTGGGCAGACCGAGTGGCGAACTACGTCCGTGATGTCACAGTGCCATGCGGATTTGCGCGGCCTTGGTGGAAAGTGCGTTTGCGTGGCGCCGTGCCACTGGGGAGCGCGAAACACGCTGGTGTAAACGCGGCGTGTCGCTGGTGTGCAGTTTCATTCGAACCTCTTCGGCGTTGTGCTTGCGCAGCGAGAAATGCACCAAGGTTGGCGCTCCTGACCCACAACGTTCCGCTGCCGTTGCATCTGCGCATCTATGTCTACACACCCTCACCTGTGTACATTTACATCTTCACACACACCCACACATCTGCACATCTATATCACACCTGCGCATCCACACTGTCACTCCTTCGCATCCGCCCTCTCTTTCTCTCTTTCTACATATCTTTTCTCTTAATCAATATTTCGATTCTAATTTCTTCGCAACTTCTTACTCAATAACAGATTGTATAAAGAAGTCATGGCTCTTGCACAACTCGATTTTAGCTATTTCCTTACTCAGAATTGCTTGACAATCACCTTTCTCGCTCTCGGGCCAACCGTCGTCTAGTTTGGAAACGCTGTCATAGTGAAAGGGACGCCAACTTGAAATCTAGGATGCTCTGAGTTGTCAAGTTTCGAGCAAACTTTAGATCAGCGCCCGTTTGCATTTAGCCGTGCGCCGGTTGATTGAGACGGACATCTTCGAACGAGCTTTGAGAAGACTGCGGCCAAATATCTTACCATTCTACCATATTTTTACCTGCCAAGTATGAAGCTTTGCTCTGCGATAACTTGCAGCTTCAAGTCTAGATGAATGAAGAACACATTTTGGAGCAGCTAGGTCCCCTACATACTTCCTTGGAACGAAGGTGGCGAGGTGACAGCAAAAGGCACCCACGGCGTTCTGGTTGCTTCCGCTGCGCCATCCCGTGCCAGAACCGCAGCCGCTTTTTGTCTTGTGGAACCAGTAGCCCTTGTAGTCACTCATCCAGCCGTGAGCGCACTTGGACCATCCTGCCGAGCGCTCCAGTCGGATACTTGTCTGTCTTGCACTTTAATGTTTTGTTTGTCTTGATATTTGCCTGTCGGATATTTGTCTTTCCAGAATGCAAGCACGCACTTCACACGCCTGCTGCTCCGTTCAATGCAGAATTGGGTTCGTTGCGCTACTATTATGAGTCGCGACATGACCCATACCTACGCCTACTTATCCCGTCTGCAACATCTCTCCGTTTTCCTCCCTAATTGATTGATCTCCCAGGGCTGGGACAAGGCGCAGGGCCACAGAAACGATCAACATTTTGGGACAAACCCAACGTCGACTAGTCAAAGCAGCCCTAATGCAAGGCTTGGTACACGTGCTAGATTGTTTCTCCTCTGTAACAACAGCGGCCTGGCTTCGCAAACTGAATTGCGTTGGCAAGAAAAGGTTGTAGTACAGAGGTTTGTGGAATGCAGTGCCTCTCATTTGGCCGCCATGTAACAGCTGCCTTTGAAGTCTCACAAGCCCCATTGTTATTAGCGGGCCCCACCCATGTACCAATTCAACACAACATCGTTAAATTGAAGCATAGATGCTGAACATTGCTGAACATGGAGCGTGTGTGGGCGGAACGTAGCCGCAAACTTGGAAACATTTCATACGCGTGATGGCATGGCGGCCATGGCGCAAAATTCTGACGAGACGAGCAACAATGTCAATCGAGTGGTTTTGAAGACTCGCGCCATTGACAGCGATCGCAGTATCAAGGCAAACACCGGCACCTACCTAATAGAATAAACTCGTGGAAAAGCAGGCTATATTCTTTTCTTCAGCCCCACCATCAGTTCCCGAAACACTTCAACCACTTGTTTTCATGCCATGGTGAGGAGCATGTTGCCATGGTCGTGGGCTTTGTGGTTTTCGGTTCTGCTCATTTGTCCTCGGGTTTGGGCTTGCTGCAACTATATATATATATATAGAGATATATTTTTAAAACAAATGTTAGGGCGTCGCCAGAGTCTCCAGTTGGCATCCAAAAGCGCTACCATGAGACCACCTGCGCGCAAAATACCACACACAAGTAATTATATATATATATACAAAGACTCAACTCGCTGTGTTTTTCCGCGCATCCATTTTGTGTCAAAAAACTTACAGAAACCATGGCGCGAGAAAGACGATTGGACTGTCCGCAAGTCCCACTCCCGCTCATCGAGGCCCAACATTCCTCTTTTCGACCAAACCACGAAAAAAGGAATGCCCCTCGTACAGGTACAATAAACGTCTTTCTCTAGTTGGAAAAAACATAAAAGCCCACAGTCTCCGCTCTTTAATAGGACCCCCTTCCCAGCGCACAAGGGCTGGGGGGGAGGGAGCTTAAGCCGAGAATCTGCGGAAACACGACGCGGAAAACGTCCTTAAATACGAATGCGTAAGTCAAAGACTCAACTCGCCGTGTTTTTTCCCATGCATGCAGGATTGTGTCCAAAAACTTAAACCATGGCACGAGAAAGACGATTGGACTGTCCGCAAGTCCTACTTCCGCTCATCGAGGCCCAACATTCCTCTTTTCGAAGCCGCGAAAAAAGGAATGCCCTTCATACCCCCCAAACTCTCTGCCAAACCAGAAAGGTTAGGCACAGGTACAGGTACAATAAACGTCTCTCTACGAAATTACTTTACTTCGAGTGATCCCCACCATGACATTTCAAAAAACAACGTTAACATCACCCTCGTTGTGTATTTCAGCCCATAGCACAAGTCCTCCAGCGCCAAGTCTTACTGTTTTGTCCGAAGCGAATGCTTTCATCAGGGACCTGTGCCCAACTAATAATACAACTCAGATCATTTCACCTGGGAAACTTCCAGGGCCCGAGCAGTAGTAGTAGTAGTAGTAGTAGTAGTAGTAGTGGTGGTAGTAGTAGTAGTAGTGGTACTCCTGTCCACCTATTAATAAACACGGCCTTCCCTAATAAGAGAAACTCGGTCGCATTTTTTCTAATAGGGGGTCCCTGAAATCGGGGTGTCCAAAATAGGGTCGGTGGATGTGCAATATTTTGTTGACCTTGAAGTGCAGAAGTGGCAGGTGCAGTACTTTGTGGACCTTGAAATGCATATTTCGTGGTCGTGGCAGGTACAGTACTCTGTTGACCTGGAAGTGCAGATTGGGGCAAGAGGATATCAACCTGCCCAGCCAGGCAGAGAGCCACAAAGTCCGCCGCGCAAACGAGAGAGGTAGTAGTTAGTTTAGCTATTGCTAGGAGCAAGGACGCTACTAGGGACTCTCAGCATCGCTACTAGGGGCAAGGACCCTACTGGGGGCTCCTGGCACGCTACTAGGGGCTCCTGGCATCGCTACTAGGAGAGCCAGCGGAGAGTCAGCAACGCAACATGGTCGATTTTGCGGGTGTATTGGGACCTATTTTGAGGGAGTTTTGGGGAACCTAATTTAAAGAACTACCACCAAAATCGACAATGTTGGTAGTTTAGTAGCGGTTTGAAAGGGCGGTAATTTAAACGCAATTATAAACCGAATTCAGGGATGTGGACATTGTATTTTTTAATTGGGGAGTGTCTATTAATAGGTACTCGGGATTAGTGGTAATGGTAGTCATAGTTGCTGTTGGACAACGTTCGGGGCCCGAGCTTCGGGGCCCGAACCTGGGAAACTTCCGGGGAGTAGTAGTAGTAGTAGTAGTGGTGGTGGTAGTGGTAGTGGTAGTGGTAGTGGTAGTGGTAGTAGTAGTAGTAGTAGCAGTACTAGTAGCAGTCGTAGTCGTAGTCGAAGTCGTAGTAGTAGTAGTAGTGGTGGTGGTGGTGGTGGTAGTTGTAGTGCTAGTGGTAGTAGTAGTAGTAGTAGTAGTAGTAGTAGTAGTAGTGGTAGTGGTAGTGGTAGTGGTAGTGGTAGTAGTCGTAGTAGAAGTAGTAGTAGTAGAAGTAGTAGTAGTAGTAGTAGGAGTAACAGAAGTAGTAGTAGTAGTAGTAGTAGTAGTACTAGTTGTTGTTGTTGTTGTTGAAGTAGTAGTAGTAGTAGTAGTAGTAGTAGTAGTAGTAGTAGTAGTAGTGGTAGTGGTAGTGGTAGTAGTCGTGGTGGTAAAAGTAGTAGTGGTAGTGGTAGTGGTAGTGGTAGTAGTAGCAGCAGCAGCAGTAGTAGTAGTAGTGGTAGTGGTAGTGGTAGTAGTAGTCGTCGTAGTGGTAGTGGTCGTGGTAGTGGTAGTGGTAGTGGTGGTAGTTGTAGTAGCAGTAGTAGTGGTAGTAGTAGCAGTAGTAGTAGTCGTAGTAGTGATAGTGGTAGGTGGTAGTAGTGTGGTAGTAGTAGCAATAGTAGTGCGCAGTTCGGGGCCCGAGCTTCGGGGCCCGAAAATTAAAAGCTTCCGGGGCCTGAGTAGTAGTAATAGTAGTAGTAGGAGTAGGAATAGGAGTCGGTGTAGGAGTAGTAGTGGAGTGTAGTAGTAGTGGTAGTGGTCGTGGTATTGAATAGTAGTAGTAGTGGCAGTAGTAGTAGTAGTGGTGGTGGTAGTAGTAGTAGTACAGCCATGGGCCCCCC